CCTTGAAATTTCATACAAACTCTGAGACTAGGCATTATAATGCTATCCTGTTTTATTTACTGATGAGGACACTGTAGCTTAGAGTGGTTAGGAAACACCACAAGCAACTTCTGGCTTCTAGAACTCCTGTTTGAACTACCAGCTCACTTAAGGGTCTGGGGTTAAGGCATTTTCCAGATGTAAGATCTTAGCGATAAAACAAGAAAAATCCTGTCAAATCAGGTGGGATAAGTTCCTCACCTCCTAGAGCTGGGCCCAGGTGGGCCTGAGAATTGTCTTTGCTGCATTTAACTACAGATGATTCACCCTTCCTCAACTGCCATTATATGCTGGTGGTGTTCTTCAGGGCTGTTTGTCTGCAAATGCCAACGAACCACCTTGTGGTTTCACTTTCCTGTGCTCTGTGAAGCACCGGGCTGTGGTATGTGGCATGAGGGCAGTGCACCACTAATTACTGCCCAGAGCCCTGTTACCTGTAGGTCACTCTGTACAGCAAGAATTCTCTTAGTTCAGAAGAAGAGTTTTGTTTGCTTTCTTTTGTGAAGATTCACTTCCTTCACAGAGCCTCATCTGAAAATGAAATCCTCTTGCTCAGCACAACTTCCTGTTAAACATCCCTCTGGAGACTATGACTCAGGAACATTTAAGTTAACTGCACCTGAGTCTAGGCTATGAAAGTATGCTGAAAAGTTGTGAAGTCCCTGAAAGCTGGGGCATCCACGAATTTGACACTTAGCACAGAAGACCTCTGAATAGGCTGAGAAAAACTAGACCCAATTTTTTCTGGTCTTTTTGAGACAGGGTCTCCCTGTAGCCCACTGGCCTGGAGTCACTATGGAGACCAGGCTGGCCTTGAACTCACAGAGATCTGTCTGCCTCTGCCTCCTGAGTGCTGGGATTAAAGACTTGTGCCTCCATGCCTGGCTTCTAATTATTATTATTTTTTTAAAATCCTTGAGAAGGAGAGGTTGGAGAGATGGCTCAGCAGTTAAGAGCGCTAACTGCTCTCGTAGAGGTCCAAAGTTTAATTCTCAGCATCCATATGGTGGCTAACAACCCTCTGTCACTCCAGTTCTAGGGAATCTGACACCCTCTTCTGGCCTCCATGGACACTGCAAGCATGTGGTGCACTTACATTCAGACAAAACACTCATACATGTAAAATAAAAATAAATAAAATTTAAAAATATCCTTGAGAGGGGCTGGAGAGATGGCTCAGCAGTTAAGAGCACTGACCACTCTTGCAGAGGACCCGGGATTCTCAGCACCCACATGGTGGCTATGAACCATCCTTAACTCCAGTTCCAGGGGAATCTGAAGCCCTCTCTGACCTCTGCAGCATTGCACGACACGGGTGCATGCACATACATGTAGGCAATACACTCATACACATAAAATAAAAATAATAAAGTATTTAAAAATATCCTTGAGAAAGTGGAACATTAGATGTGTCTATGCATTATAGAATTCTAGGGGGCTGGGTTACCTGCTTGGAAAACCAGCTTCTCCCTAGCATAGATCCAGAAAATTGTTGGAAATTTAAGGGTAAAGCTCTCCAGAGGTGAAAAGGTCCCACAAAGTTCAAAGGAATCTTTTCAGAAGTAAACAAACAGTAAAGTTAACCCTTTAGGACCAGTATCCCCCCCCCTCCTGAGGTAAAAAAGATGGCTTCAGAAACAATTTGGTGGCTGGGAACAGTTGTGCACATGCCTGTAATACCAACACTCAGAAGGGAAGTTGAGGCTAGAGAATCTAAAATTTGAGATCAATCTGGGCTACATGGCGAGACTGTGTGTTTAAAAAAAAGCTAAACAACCAAACCCTCTCATCTCCCCCAAACAAAAATAAAAATAACCACACAATATAGCATACTTAAAAAAATTATGTTATTGAGGCTAGAGAGATGGCTCAGTGGTTAAGAGCACTGACTACCCTTGCAGAGGAGCCGGGTTCAATTTCCAGCACCCACATGGTACAACCATCCATAACTCCAGTTCTAGGGGATCTGACACCCCCTTCTGGCCTCCATGGTCATTGCATGACATGGGTGCACTTACATTCCTGCAGGCAAAACACTCATATACATAAATAAATAAATATAAAAAATTCTCTTATGTCAGTAGCAAACTCAGAAAAAATAGAGAAAAAACTTGCAATGTTTAAAAATGACAGAGGAAAAACTATACTTATCGAGGCACTCTTTTGCAGTTACTTTACAAATTAACATTAAAACAATGTTTCTCTGATTATAAAAACACATGCTGGTTATAGAAAACTTGGAAAACTGAATAAAGAAGAAGAAAATACCCATAATTCCATAGGCTGGAGGTGGACGTCTGCTTGTACAACCTGGAATCGGAGTGCAAATACTGCACTCGGCCTGGCATTTCATGTTTCTCCTTGAATTCATCTTAAGCTCACTTCCAGGCTCACCAAAGCGCCAGTTTGTTTCAAGGCTCTGTCACAGTTTACCTAACCAACCTCTTTGTGTTGGACACTCCCATTATTTGTAGTTTTTTGCTTTGTCAATAGCACCAAGGGAGATGCATTAAATGCATGCCTTTTGGGGAGGGGAATTGGTGGGTGGGCTGGGGCTTTGATTGTGGGGAGTTGGTGAGTGTCACAGGCTCCACTGTGTCACCTGGAGGACAGTAGGATTTATTATAAGGAATTTTGACCAGAGAGGCCATAGAACCAGGATGTACAGGGGCTCCTTGTTCTGACTCAGATAGACATGCTCCAGGACTTATTTGGAGTAAAGTAGAGCTGGGTGTGTGTAGAGGCGGAGAGGGTGGTGGTGGTGGTAGTGGTGGTGGTGGTGGTGGTGGTGGTGGTGGTGGTGGTGTGTGGAGTATAGGGGAAAGTGGGGGTACTAAGGCATGTGCCCCAGGGCGGGAAGGAGTGATGGGGATGCACTGTGATCCTTCTCCCCTTTTCCTCCTCCCCTTCCTCTTCTCCCCCTTTGCCTTCTCCTTCCCCTTCTTTCTCTTCCCTCTCTCCCTCACTTCCTTCCTTCCTTCTTCCCTTTCTCTCTTTTTCTCTCTTCTTCCCTCCCTCCTTTCCTCCCTCCCTCCCTCCCGCCCTTCCTCCCTCCCTTCCTTCCTCCCTTTCTCTTTCTTTTTCTTATCTATACAATTTCTCTGTCAAGGCTGGGGACTCCCAGAGCCTGTGGTCCTTGCCAGGGTACCAGGACTGGCTGCTGCTGGTTTCTGTTTGGGGACAAGCATTTGAAGACGCAGCGCGCCCCCTGCTGGGCATTTCCCTATATCCCGCTAACCCAAGAAGGGAGCTCTCCCGGTGCTTCCTGGTTCAGCCTCCAGACCCCAGTAGCGAAGAAGCCTCCTGCCCATCTGCATCCTTCTGGGAGTCAGGAGGTAGGTTCTAAACCTCGGCGCTGCCCCTAACTTGCTGTGTGGCTCTGGCCGCATCGCACGCCGCTCTGGGTCTTACCTTGTTCTGTGGGCAGCGTGGGCCTGGGCCTGGCTAGTACAGGGCTCAGAGCGCTTCTTCTGTTGCCCTCTTTGCTCAGTTTGGGAGTCCAGGGCCGCTGGAGCAGTCAGGCCTCAGGACTCAGAGGCCAACCCTCGGCCTTCCTGAGGGTCCGTACTCCTGCCTCAGGGTAAACAGGAGCCAAGCGGAGGAGGTGGGCCAGGGTGGGCAAGAACCCAGAGACAGCCCCACAGTGGAGGATTAGGCCCTCAACTGGAGGAGACTTGAGGGGGGGTGTGAGGATGGGGCTTCTTGGAAAAGGAAATAGGCACAGAACTCTTGGGTAACTGAGTTCAGAGTACAGGCCCCTTCCAGATAGGTAGGAACAAACACTGAATCTGAGGGAGCACCATCCACACAAACAGCAGGATACAAACCTCCTCTCCCTGTGGAAGCAACGGGGACATCGGCAGGTAGGCAGAATTCTGGATACAATCCCAAACTCACAATAACCAAGGAGTGTGTAGAGTGTGTATTCAAGAAAAAAACATGGCTGAGTTTTGCTCAGAACAGTGAGCTTTGTGGCAGTTTAACTTGTCCTAGGTCTTTCCTATTTCCAGCATCTGGGAGCTTGACTTTCAAAGACTGCATTGCAGGAGGACACCAGCAGCCCCTGAAAGAGCCCCACCGAGGCTCCACACCTCCAAAGCCTGGTTCTCCAGCAACACACCATTTGACTCACATGGTGGTTCCCTGGAAGACTCTACTTGCAAGGTTGTGTTGAGTCGACCTGATTTGGAGGAACTCAGTGCAAACAGACTTTCTGCCTTTGAGCATTCGTTGAAGACAGTGATGACAGTTTTATGTGAAAAGTGTCTCAGTCAATAGCAGCAAGATGCTGACCAAATATTTGAAAAGTCGAGGAACAAGTTATCCTCCAGAGGGTTTTGAAGCGCTCTGGCATATTGTTTGAAATTTAGAAGCACCTCACATGCGTCCAGTCGTGCACGGTGCCCAGCAAAGACACTGGTTCTTTGCAATTGTAAAGGGTGTTGTAACCCTGAATATCAGGGATCCCTGACTGCTGATTAGACGAAGGACTTGAGGGATGGGGCCTGCACAGGGGCCAGGATGGCTCTGAGTGGAAGAAAGGCTGGACTGGATGCCCCTTATATTCTGTAGACATTGGTTTTCTTTTTTTTAAAAAAAAAGATTTTATTTTTAATTATGGGTGTGTGTGGGTCTGTGTGGGTGTGTGTAGGTGAGTGCAGGGCTCTGGGGAGGCCAGAAGAGGACATCAGATCTTCTGGAGCTAGAATTAGAGGTAGTAGTGAGCTGCCCAACATGAGTGCTGGGACCCAAACTCAGGTCCTGTTTGAGAATAGCACATACACTTAACCACAGCCCCACAATTGGTTTTCTTGGCAACTCACAAGTGTCCTTGCCCTCTAGTTCCTCTAATGATAGTGGTGACAAGTGCATATATGTAGGTATGTCTGTATGTGACTGTGTATCTGCATGCATGCATGTCTGTGTATTTCATATGGGTTCTCTCAGCTCTAGAAATGGAAGAATTTTAATATTTCTTTATTTAGACGTAAAAAAGTACAGTACATCTCATGCACCAGTGTGACCAATATACAGTCATTATCTGTAGAGCAATTACTACGATATGACATAAAAGGTTACAGGGATTGCTTATCCAACTAAAAAACCTGAATTAAAATTCTTAACCTAAATAACAACCTGCTTATTATGCAAAAACTCTTACTCTATATTTGTAAGAACTAGAAACTTGTAAGTATTATTAGTAAAAACAAAACCAAATACAAAACAAACAATGATCATTAGGAAAAACTAATTATTGGTTAAATAACTGTCAGTGTTTACAATCCCCTTGCAGAATGAGAGACCTTGCTGGGGGAAGGGTCCACAATAAGGATGAGCTGAAGTCATGTCTCCTATCTCACCCGCCCCCTCTGTGTCTGGATGTCCCCTCTTCCAGGCATGATTGCAGTTGAAAGTTCCTCATGACCCTCCAGTGGGAGCCGGGCACAGCAAGGGCCTTGCCTTCTGCAGGGTGTGCCTGAGGGTCATTCCCTGAGATGTGGCAACCAGCAAAAAGACAAATGGCACGGTGGCTCTGTAATGCAGTCATGTTTACCTTTGGGCATTGGCCAGACTTTCTGAGGGCTGCATCTTGGGCATCTCTAACTCAAGAAATGAATAGACAGAAAGAGAAAAGAGAATAAATGATCAGGTCAGACCAATGGGGGTACTCTTTTGCTCCAGAACCATCTGCCCACAGGCAAACCTGGGCAGTGCCAGTGAATGTGAAATGGGACTCTGAGCTCCTCCCTCTCTCTGGAGGGTGAGTTGGAGGCTGCCCTCGCCCTATGATGGATCATCCTTGATCTCCACTGTCTCTCCAGGGTAAATTCACAGTTATGTCAAGTTCAGCAAGCCATTTCCCTGAAGTTGACTGAATGGATCAGCACTCAGTACTGCACAGTGACTAGGGTGGCAAGCTAGTGGAATCACCTCAGGACTCAAGGTCAGGAGCTGCTGAGGGGCCCCTTCCTTCCTGGATAGGCCTGGGGAGGAGCTGAGGAGTAGTTGGGTACTGCATCTGTGTGAGGGAGGCTCAGCAGAGCTGGGACTTCTGACAGCAGGCATGATGGGCAGTTGCAGTCTGCCTTGGGACTGGGCTGCAGAGTCCTGTCCAGTAGCTTAGGCCCTCCAGCCTTCTCCCTTCAGGCAGACAGCCATACATGGGAACCCCGGGAAGACTCCCTAAAGTTCAGCATAGGCAACTTTGCTTAGCAGTACTGGAAGGACAAAGTCTTTGGGATAGATTGGGTGTGGGGTAGGGGTGGGGGCAAGGTGGCCTGACTTTTCCAGCATTTGGGACAGCTGTCAGTGAAACAAGTCGGTGAAATACGTCCTTGGTTATTTAAGGGGCCTGGTGCCTGCTATCCTGGGAAAGGTAAGGTCTTTGTTCCCACAGGGAAGGCCTGGTGAACTTGGGAGTCAGTGCAGATTCTTGGAAGGCAGGGAAGGCGGTGCCAGTGTCTGATCGAGGCTGCAGTGAGTTTGGGTCTCCAGGCCCAGAGGCTGAGGACCCCTAGTACATCAGCTCCTCACGAGGATCTGAGCTGTACAGCTCTGCCAGCATCTTGAACCTGGGTCCCCAGTCATTAAGGAAGTCATAGTCGATATCAGAGTCGGAGGAATTGGTGCTCAGAGAGCTGAGTGACTCGGCAATGGACTCAGAGCCCTCGTAGCCATAGATGTGCAGCGTGTCGTAAGGGGGGCCGCCACCATCGTGGTCCGCCTCGTCCTTCTTCACCTCGATCATGGCGGCCATCTCCCCAGGCCCTCCAGGCAGCCCCCGCGGTGGCTTCTGTACCTGAGTGTAGAGGGCCTGTCGGTCCAGCATGGATCTCGGGGGCTTGGTGGCGCCACCCGTGCGAACCGAGTTGAGCACCGACACGTCGTAGCTGGTAGTGTCCATCTCGCCGCCACCTTCCTCGTCGTAGGTGACCAGCTGCTCATGGATCTCGGGCACGCTCTTGCCATGTGCACGTGCCTGCTTCCGGAGCCGCCTCCGCAGGAAGATGAGCAGGGTGATCACTGCCAGCCAAGGAGTCAGACATACAGGGGTCAGACAGGGCTCACAGGCTGGACCCCTCTGCTCTCCTCCCTGCAAATTCCCGGGATCAGCTCTTATTCCCAGAGCCACCACTGGGTCAACAGAGGTTTGGCCTGGCCCAGAGTGTCACATCACTGGCACAGATTTGCACTGCCTGAAGTTACATAAGTAAAGTGGGGGGTGCCCTGATAGACCCCTCCCCAAGCCTGCTTCTCTGTTTGCAAGGTGGAAATAATGGCTCTTTGCTATTCATATTTGGGAAGATGATGATGAGATCCAATGCCTTTATAATTGTTATTAATTACTATTTATGAAAGGGGAATCTGGATCTAATCTCTCTGGCCCAGTGGTTTGAGGATGGGGACACAGAAAAGCCACTGGCCAGAAAGACCCAGAGCCTATGGTGCCAGAGCCCCACCATCTTAGTCTTGCCTCTGGGCAGGTGGAATCTGGGAGAATTTACTCTTGGAAGGAGCTCTCAACCCTTAACTGAAGGGTCTGACTGATGATGAGCTCTGGCTCAGGTCCCTGCTGGGAGGATGCTGAAGCTTCACATTGCCCCCTGATGCCCCAGGGGGATAAAACTGTTTAACACAGGTAGGAGAACTCTCAGGACCAGCTTGCCCTTCGAGACTGGCCCCATTCCTGTTTCATATAGTATGGCTTTCTTATGAGATTTCCAGGCAACACCTCCCCAAAGAAACCTTTTGCATCCAAATCCTTGTCCAAGGACTGCTTCCTGGGAAATGCCAAACCTAGGCACCGCCTAAAATGTTCCTGAAAGTGATGAGGTGCAAACGAGGGGGTGGGGGTGGGGTGATCCAAGCTGGTGTTCTATAAAAATGAAGAAAACCCCTGGTGAAACTCGAAGTTTCAAAACTTTCCATTTAGAAACAGTTTTTAAAAATTAAAAATGGCTTTTAGATACATCAGTGCTCCAAATAGTGTCTGATGTATAGTCAACACTCAAAATACATACAACCAGTGAATGAATGTCAGGTGTACATTATTTTTCTTTTTTGCCATGCTGGAACTTGAACCTGGGGCTTAACACATGCTAATAAGTTCTCTACAACTGTGCTACATTAGTTAGATTGAAGAGTGGAAAAGGGGTCTCATTTCCCATCCATCCCTTCTCTCCCCCATCTCCTAGGCATCCAGGTTGATGGCAGCCTACATCTGCATCTACATCCCTGTATCCTCAGGAAGCCCTGAAGTCCAGGAGTGACTCACTGGGCCAGTGCTGCATTGTGGACTGAAGGCAGGATTGCACTGAAACGGGTCTTTTCTCTTCAGTGTCTCCTCCCTGCCCCTCCAGGCACTGACCTGTGATGGTGAGGATGCAGAGGAAGATGGCGACCAGTGCCTGGATGCTGACGCCCACCTGGGGGGCCACCTCCTCACAGAAGGTGAACTCGCCCTGCTCGTTACACTTGCACACGGCCACCGTCAGCGTGCTGGTTCCTGTCAGGCTGGGCACCCCATTGTCTGAGATGATCACGGGCAGGTAGTGGACCTTGGCACGCTCCCGATCAAACTGCCCGTATTTGACGGTGATGTTGGCAGTGTTATCTGGAAACATAAAGACCACAGAGTGAGGCTTTGCCAGAGCACCTGCCCTCTTTGTACCTTGGCACGAAGCTGCCTCTTCCTTTTTGGCTTCTCTGCCTTTTTCACTCCCTGCCTCATGTTTCAGCCCCTGGAATGCAGGCATCTTCCCTCACAGAGGACACAGTCTGGGCAGCTGCTTTGTCCCATTCTGGAAGAATGACTCAGAATGTAAAATTTCAGCTTTCTGTTTCTGTGAGCAATAGGTACACCCTGCCCCCTTCCTCAACCCCATGCCAATAACAGGGGCTTTCTCTCTCTGCTCAACTAGTTACTGTACAGCTTCAAGCTTCCACAAACATCTGGAAAAAGAAGTTTTTCTTTGAGCATTGGTCTAAATTCTAGGGCTGTGTAAGCTTTCTCTAAAAATGCATTACTGCAAAGGAGGTGCATAACCATAAACACGAGGCCCATGTTTCCCGGCGTTTCCCTGGGCAGTGTGCACCTGGGAAAGAACTTCTGTCTCTCTATCCCACCCCCCATCCCAGCCCGACCCAGCTCCACTCATTGGTTTCCTGCACAGAAGCATCCTTCCGAGTTTTTTTTTAACTTAAAAAAAATTGAGAATTTCCATACATGCATATAAGGTGTTTTGATCAAATCCACGCCCACTCCCTCCCCTCCAACTCCTCCCATATCTCCCCATCACTTTTTTCTGACAACTGCCTGCTTGCTTGCTTTCTTTCTTTTTTTTTTTTCTCTCTCTCTCTCTCTCTCTCTCTCTCTCTCTCTCTCTCCCTCTCTTTATGGGGCTTTTTGATACTCTAACTTTCCCCCTCAGCCTGAAGAGGTAACCCTAAAATCTTCAAGGGATTAGATAAAAGCTCTCTTCAGGGAGTTTTTAAACATTCTGATTTTCAGACCTCACCCTTCCCCTACAAATACACACACACACACACACACACACACACACACACACACACTGTTGCTTCTTCAATGTCTATGAGCAAAAGACAGATCTGCCTTTTGTAGGTTCCTGGGAAGTTGGAAGGCCAGTGGTCACACTTAGCTACAAAGGGTGGGTACAAACAGGAAGCCATCCAAAAACCAAAGATTTCAAATGAAAGCCAATTAATTTCATTATCCATAATTTCATTTCAGTTTTAAGTCTATTATAATTAAAAACAAACAATATGCCATTTACATTTAATGCTTTTTTTTTTTTAAGACAGGGTCTCACTATGTAGCCCCAGTTGACCTAGAACCAGGCTAGCTTTGAACTCACAGAGATCTACCTGCTTCTGCCTCCTGACAGCTGGGACTAAAGATGTATGTCACCACCCCTGGTTGTCATTGACGCTTCATGGGACTGTCTTTGGGGTGACTTTAGGGTGGCACTTAAACTTTCTCTCCCAGGACTCCAACTCTATCTAGTTTATTTAAGGTAGACCTTTGGCAACGAGATGACTTTTGCCGCATTATTCACTTCTAAAGGCAGTTGAGTGTTGAACTCCCTGTCATTAACTGTCAGCACATCATGATCACCTTCCTCTTTCTGTAGGCCAGGGATGATCAACTCCTTGCATAGTAGGTCTGTGGCTGATCTCCCACACCTGCCCCTCACTCTCAGAGACTCTTCTCCCTAGCCTTCCCAAAGATGACAACAGGCTATTTTAATACAGGGGTCCTCATGGTATGGTCATTCAGGGGCAGGGATATCTCCTCCCCCATTTAGGCAAACATTTATTCTAGTTTTCTGAGGAAGTTGCAGGGGCCACAGAAGCCTACCTACTTTTGGACAGAATTAAATCAGCTTAGAATCATCCCTCTAAAAGCACATCATCAGAAGCTCTGATTGACTGCTTTTGACCTCACAAAACTCTGGGCTTTGATTGGCTAAATAGATGCTCTGTGATATGCTGTGATTGGTGGACCAGATGCTGTTTAGGGGTCAGCTGGTGGTAATCATTGTGTCTAAACTGAAACAAAACTCATTGTGTTTGGATTCATGACTCCATTATTTCCAGTTTGGACTAGTTTGAACTGACTGCAAAATTCCACATCATAGAGAATTTGCAGTTTTGCTGAGGCAGAGATCCCAGCATAGGAAGGAATCTTTGGCTAGTTTGGACTGACTTAACTACCTGCACTCCTGTATTCATCCTGTATTCTGGCCTCTTCAAGGGAATGGGAGCCCTTATGGACCAAGTGGACCAGATCCTATGCTCTGACCACAGTACAGACTAATTATCCAATGTATGTGATGGGAGCTGCACAAAATAAGCCCATAACTTGAAAGACCCCATGGAGGCCTGTCACCCATGTATTGGTCTAGTTCTTGTCTCTAGTGCTTTCAAGACACATATAACTGACACCTCTGGTCCTGCTAAGAACCAACTGAATGCTCTACTGCTCACCGTGATTGTCCATGAGGGTGAAGTTGCTATCCTCGGACCTCAGGGCAAACTTGAACCTGGCGTTTCGTGGTGTTATGTCCTTGTCTGTTGCGGAGATCTGCACGACCAACTGGAGTGTGGGAGGTAAGAGAAGGTCAATGTGGTTTGGGGGTGGTGGTCTGAGGTTCAGGGATGGGTTTAGACCTGACCATGGCTGCCTGTCACCTGCAGCATTATCCTGAATGGTCTCCCCAAAGCCACTTTACCACCATCCTGCCTCTACCTCTCCCTAACCTACTCTTCAGATACTCTTGGAGCCTCAATTTCTCCACATGTAAAATGGGGATAGTGTTTTCTTCAAGGCTGTTATGTAGATTACATGAAATTTAGGGAATTCCAGGTGAACTGGAGGATCTACTGCTCAGCCTGCCGCCAGGGGGTACTGCCTCACCCCACCTCCTGCCCCTCCCCATCACTCACCTTGCCCTGGGCAGCGTTCTCACAAACTTTAGGCTCATAGGGCTTGGCAAATTCAGGGGGGTTGTCGTTCTCATCCAAAATTTCAATATGGACCTGCACAATGGATTCTTTGCCTGTGGGATTACCTGTAGTGGAGACAGCTTGTCACCACAGCGGGCTCAGCTGGTGCTGACCCCCAGGGTTGGAAGATGTTTGGATGGATAGTCCTGGAGGGCTGTGGTGGAGGCCATTTTTTGCGGGAAGAGAGAGAGACCAAGGATGGTGTTGTGAATGAAGGAGTGTGGAGAACAAGGGGTGGGGTGGGGGGGACCTTCCTATGTGAACAAATGAAGAATCCGAAAGCTAGATTGCCTAAATGCATCCTAAGAGATAATAATCTAATTAATAATGAAACCAAGAAAATAAATATAATTGATTAAAATAATCTAACATATAATTATGAATTATTTAAATAACATTCCCTTCCAGAGCCCCCACATGATCTGGGTACGGTGGGAATGGGGCTGTTTCTCTGTTGGGTGGTTGTGACAACTGCCCTTGGATCTGTCAGAAGTTATGCAATTTTTGGAGCCCCTAATAACCTTGAGTTGCATGACCCATTCAGCCCATTAACTGGCACATGTATAACTTCCCAAACACAAAGACGTATTTGTCAAATGCATTTGACAGTAAGAATCATGTGGCACATCCTTAGCCCTGTCTGTTCACTGCACCAAACCCCCAGGGAGATGCCTCAGAAACTCTGTGTAGTAGGTGCCTTATCTCATCACAGAGGCATGTGCACAGCCTGTTTGTATAACAGTGCTTCCCAAGGAGTGATGCACATGAGATTCTCATCCAGTCTGGGTGGTACCCAGGATGCTATGCTTCCAGCAAGGTTGCAGGTGCTGGATTTGTTGCTGGTCCAAGGACCACATTCAGATTCAGAAACTCGATAGTATCTCAGCCAGAGAATACTTCCTCAGGCGCTTATAATAACTCTAAGAGAGCTGAAATGCCAGATTGTGCCAGTTTTGAAAGAATGGGGTGTGGGGTGGGGAAGAACCCAGGTGCCCCAGAAGATGAAGCCACTCACCTCTAGTATCTAGTTCATTGGCCTCCACAGTCAGGTTATACCAGGGGTGGATTTCTCTGTCCAGTTCTTTCTCATTATAAATGTGCCCCTGTTTGTTTATTCGGAAGAACTGGCCTTTATCACTGGTCTTGCGGATGGAGTATCTGTCCAGGGGAAAGAGTTTCATGGCTTTCTTTGTTCTTCACTGAGTATAAACTCCTCAGTATGACTGAGAATGTCCTGCAGGATTCTTCCCCATTCTCCTTTTTCACTGCTCACTGCACTTAGTACCCAGAGGGAGAAGGCCTGCACATCCACACAGGGTCAGGGAAGCAAGATGAAGTTTGACTGGAATGATGCTGCCATCTCCTGACTGACTGGCGTACCTGAGATTCCATCAGCAGCGCATTCTGGACTGAACAGGTGACTATTGTCAACTGTACTGCAGTGTGTGTGTGTGTGTGTGTGTGTGTGTGTGTGTGTGCGCGTGTAAAGAGAGGTGGGCAAGAGTGAGGGAGAAACAACAGCAAAAAAAGCTGGAAGAATAAGAACCAGTTGAAAGAAAAGAAAACATGTGATGTGAAAATTTGCAAAGTTCTTCAATAAATCAGGAAAATGACTATGAAGAGATGAATATGTGTGTCTGTATATATACATATATCATATTTATGAAGAAGAGTCCAGGACAAATACAACAGAACAAATATTACAAATATAATATAATAACAGAAAAATCCTAAGAGGAAGAAGGCTGGAGTCCTCAGATTAATGATGTGATCCATAATGTATAACTGTAAAAAAATAATAGTCATTGGGCTTTTGCTGATGACCCTCCTGAACATCAAAGCTGAAGAAACTGAAAAGAGTCCAGACTCTCAAGTCAAAGGCAGATTCCTTATGAAGAACGAGAAATTAGGCTTCCTTTAGATGTTTCCGCAGAAGGAAATGCTAGAGCACATTGGGCTTTTTTTTTAATTAAAAAATTTTTTGAGACTTTTATTTGTGAGTGTTCTCGATATTCTTGAAGGGAAGTATCTGTGACCTAAAGACTGTGTGAATACTCCCAGGCTTTGTTAAAACAAGAAGGCAAAGAACTATTGTTTAGGAACACATAAGAACTTAGGAAGTCCATCATTCACAAAGACGGATCCTGAAAAAAGTTTTTGAAAACTTTACCTAAAGTAAAAACCTGGTCTGGGAGAAAACTGAAATGAAGCTATTGATGTACATGAGAGTGATGCTTTTAACTAGAAAACATTTACGAGTTTATACACAGAAGCGAATCTTGTTCATAGAAGTAAAAACTGAAATATTCCATTCAAATATCTAGGAGCAAAAATAAAGGCTATAGGAAAGATGAGGAGCAAGAAGAAACCTGTCCCATATGAGAAATGGGGAGTATGAAATAAGAGATAGGAGATGTGAGATGAAACAGATGGCAGATGTTTAAAGAGCAGGTTGAGCACAGAGCACCTCAACTTAGCTCCAAAAGCCAAGCCAGCTGCATTCTGTTTTCAAGATACAGCTTATTATCAAATGATCTAGAAAAGTTAGAAACAAAAGTTGGAAAGTTTGTATCAGACAAATGGAAACAACAAGAAAACAGGATGAGCAAAATTAACAGCCGACAGTGGGCACTGAAGGCCAGACACTTAAGCAGAACAAATCAGCTGCTTTCACAGGGATGCAAGTCACAAGTCATGCGCAGGAGGCTGAATTCAGTGATGGGGCACTTGCTTAGCTGGGACAACCCCTGACTTCTACCGCTAGCCCTGGATAAAAAGGTTATAGGACAGAATGAAGGTAAAACAGTGGTAAATCTTAGTCAACTGACAGAAAAATTAAAATATATAAGTATGGATATTTTAGTGAAAATGGACACAAATACAACTGTATTACATCATAGAACACATTAAACCACCCTGTCGTTTCCCAAACCTTGTAAAAGAACAACAACAAAAAAAATCAAACAATACCAAATCAATGTTTTTGTTGTTTTGAGGTAAGGTCTCCTTGTAGTCCCAGCTGGTTTGGAACTCACTATGTAGACCAAGCTGGCCACATTTCAAAGAGATTCATTTGCCTCTGCCTCCTGAGAGTCAAGATTAAAGGCATGTATTATCATGTCAGGTGCCAAGTCAATCTTAAAACCAAACCAAACCAAACCAAAACAAAACAAAACGAAACCTTTCTAGGAATTGGCTAGGCAGTTAGGGTAAAAAGACCCCAAAGAAAAATAGCCAGTTTCTGGGCTAAAAGTCAAAATGTCTTTGGGCCTGTTAGCAACATATTCTGTTCCAAAGGCCAAAAATGTCAAAAGTATTTGGGAGCTTGTATCTAATCCTTAAAAGATTTTAGGGTTACCTCTTCAGAGGGGGAATGTTAGAGTAGCTAAAAGCCCCATAAAAATAAATAAATCAAAGAAAATAAAGGAAAGAAAAGAAAAGTGATGGGGAGATATGGGAGGCGTTGGAGGGGAGGAAGTGGGCATGGATTTGATCAAAACACCTTATATGCATACATGAAATTCTCAATAAAGTTTTTTTAAAAGTTAAAAAAAATCAGGAAATAAAATATATGTCTTTCTTAAAACTTTTTCAGAATAAAACATTCATTTGGGAAAAAAAAACTTTCAGTTAAAGAAGTGACAAAATTATAATTACAGATCACTTAGATTGAATGGCAATGAAACAGTGGTCCCAAAATTTATGAGATATAACCCAAATAGAGGGGCCTACTTTGTTTTTCACAAGAAGACCTAATACTGCTGGGCCCGGCGATGCAGGCCTGTAATCCCAGCGACTCAGGAAGCTGACGCAGGAGGATCAGCAATTTAAGGTTGACCTGGACTATGAAATGAGTTTAAGTTCAGACAGGGCAACTTAGTGGAATGCTGTCTGAAGAGGGAAAAGAAAAATAAAAAAGAAAGAAAAAGAGGGCTTGGGATGTGGTTTTATTGATAGGGTGCCTGTGAAACTCTAGGTTCAATCCCCAATACAGTAAAGAAAAAAACAAGCTCTTCCACAACTGATATATAAAAACAATTCTTGGGTCAGCAAGATGGCTCAGTAGTCAAGGGTGCCTGTTACCGAGTTGAGTCTGACAACCTGAGTTCAACCCCCAGGTCCCACAGGGTGGAAAGGAAAAAGAGGATTGACTTCCGTAAATTGCTTCTGATCTCTACATTCATGCTGGTAGCATGCAACACCCCCAACACACAAAATAAATAAAAATGTAACAAAAATAAAACCAATATTCATTAAAGTATAAACATCTTTTAAAAACCTAGACTAAAAATTAAAGTTCATGCCAGGCAAGGTGGCATGGATCTTTAATTCTAGCACTTGGGAGACAGAAGCAGTTGGAATTTTATGAGTCTGAGATCAGACTGGGCAAGACTGGGTTACATGGAGAGTTCCAGGCCAGCAGGGCTACATAGTGAGTCCCTGTCAAAAAAAAAAAGATGAAAGCTCATGAAGCAAAGGCTGGAGGATCACTGCAGTTTAAGGCTAACCTGAGCTACATAGTGAGACCCACCCTTTCTCAAAAAATAGCCAAATTAAAAAAAAAACCCTCATATGCAAGAATGGATGTTTCAACATGGATAAAAATTATGTTAAAAAACAGTGAAAGAGGCTTATCTTAGACATATTAACATTCAATAGAAAGCTTCTCCAATAAAAAATAAAACAGAATGCCACAGAAGCAAGTTAGTGGAGAATTCAGAGGCAGATTCAAGTTCAGGAAGATCTAAGTATGTAATAAGTGACAGGAAATAATGACATTTAGTCAACAGTACTGAACCGGTCAGCTATGTGTGTGGGATTAAATTGATACATACTCTCAAGTATCGTGTGACTCTAAGAAGTAGGAACAGTCCCATCCTTCTGTGGAGGAGAAGCATCTAGTTAAGACAGAGGAACAAAGGCAGTCATTTGAATGCTAGTTTATGTGTTAAGAACTGAATCCCCAAATTCATATATTCATGGTGTTTGGAGACACAGTTTTGAGAGGTATGATTAGATGAGGCCATGAGGGTGGGGCCCTCATTATGGATCAGGGGCTTTATAAGAACAGAGAGACTCAAGTTGGCAAGCTTGCTGTGTCTCACCAAGTGACACCCTTGACCCTGTCATGACGCAGCAAGAAGGCACTCACCAGATGCCAACCAGGTGTTGACACCATGTTCTTGGATTTCCCATTCTACAACCTGTAGCTAAACAGACCTCTATTCTTCATAAATTACCCAGCCTATGGTATAAAGTTATGGCAACAGAAAATAGACTAAGAACAAGTACTGATGAAATGTGCAGGATGCGATCCACCTAAAACAAGTAACAAATCCCTCAAATAACTCAGCATCCATGTTTCTTTGCATTTGTGTGGTCATTAAGAAAAGTGCTTTAGGACCATGTGAAGTTTCTGATAGCTCTATGGGAGCAGGGGCTGCTAAAGTTTTCTTTATAGATCTTTGTGCTGTTTTATCATGTGAAATAGACACTTCTGACCTTGTGTTTTGAGGAGACAAATTTAGTAAAACCATTTTTGGTAATGGGGCTTCATATATGCCATTTGATTGATGACTCTCTTGCCTATCAGGCCTCCTTGGGTGGGACCTGTGGGAGCTGCAGTCCAAAAATGGACTCTTTAAGGTAGAATTAGGGACTTGTTGAACCAGGCAAAGTGGGTGGTGAAGGTTCTGGCAGGGCAAGGGTGTTAGTGGACAGAACCTGGGTGTCTGGGCCTCCCTTTGCCTTTCTCCATGGAGGTGTTGGGAGATGCCAGCTTTCTTCTCTGAACCTTGGTCTCAGACCAGCATGCATCAGGTTGTCCATGTCAGGATGACCACACCATCCTCACACACAGGCCTACTACCTCCTTACCCAATGCTGCGCTGGGCCTGGTCGGGGTCCTTAGCCTGTACATTGCCGACCAGAGGTTTCTTCTGGTTTTCCGGCAGCCGGAAGTGATAGAAGTGCTGCTGAAAGACAGGGGGCTCGTCCACATCTGTGACATTGATGATGATACGTGCTTTGTTTTTGCCAGCGGTGCTGCTCAGGTATCCAAGTCTGACTGTGGGGTCCGTGGCCTCAATGTAGAATGTGTATTTTCGGATGAGTTCATAGTCTAGAGGCTGCGTGGGGGAAGCATGCCGACTATTATTAACTCCTTTCATTTCACTGACCCCCACCTCTGAACCTGCCTGGCTCTGTGGCAGGCATTTAGAACGTGCCCAAGCCCAGTGCTCCTCTCAAGGGAATCACAGCTAGTGGTTTTATTCAAAGGAGGACCTTTTATGTTTTTTGTTCAAGAACCTGTGTTTGCCTATCTAGAAACTTCCGTTAGTCTTGAGTGAATGGGAGTTTGCTAGTGAGAAGCAGTCAGATGGCCTCTCAGAAGCCACTGTGGATAGCAACTGCTTCCTGGCTGGTATTGTTGTATAACCCTGGGCATAGTGACCACATTTTTTTATTGTATGTCTGTCTTCTAGAAGCATAACAGTTCCTTTCCCTCCTCTTCTGGATTCAATCAGTCTGACAGGCCACTGCCCATGGCCGCCTGTGCCCTCAGGTATACACCCTTTCCATATAAGCTTGATGGCTTTCTTCTGACTGGGACGCAAAGGGTTAATGCCAGAGGAGCACTATGCTGCTTAGTTATAAATGTCAACTTGCTACAACCTAGAATCATCTAAGAAGAAAGCCTCAATTGCAGAACTGCCTAGATTGGGTTGGCCAGTGGTCATGACTGTGGGGGATTGTCTTGATTATGAATTGATGTAGGAGGGCCCAGTCCACTGTGGGCAGCACCACTCCCTAGGCTGGGCCCTGAGCTGTTTAAGGGAGGCGAAAGCTAGTTGAGAGCAGGTGCAGTTGGCAGGAAGACAGATGCATTTGTTTCTGCTCTTGGTGATGTGGTGTGACCAGCTGTCTCAAGCTCTTGCTGCAGTGACTTCCCAACAGTAATGGAGTGCAGTTTGGAATTATGGGCCAAACAAACCCATTTCTTCCCAAAGTTGCTCTGGTTAGAGAGTTTTTACCACAGCAACAGAAATGAAACCCAGAGCAACACCCTAAGTAAACAGTGTGGGGTGTGTGGCTGCATACCCCTTCCCCCCACCCCAGCTGCTGCAATTCTAAGATGTGCTCTATGCTGCCCCCATCGGGTTGGTCCCACTTGTACATTCTCATCAATGAGCTCAGGAAAAGCTTCCTTTTGTCACCTGTCACTGCTTCTGGGGCTTCCAGGCAATATGTCCCAAGTAAACATTTCATACCCAAATCCTTGTCTCTGGGTCTACTTCTGGAACAACCCAGTCTGAGACAATGAGTCACAGTCTCCATGAGCACATGATCTGAGCTGCCTAAGAACATTCTCTTTTGATGGCTTCTGGCCCAGCAGCCATCCCCGGGTATGTCCTGTGGATGCTGTGAACCCCACATCTCACAAGTGGTTTCATTCCCACATTCCTACATACCTTCATGGGCTTGATGATGCCCTCATTGCGGTTGGGGTCTGTCTGGATGGTGAAGGTGTCTCTGTACTCGCCCTGTATGATGCTGTATTTGGTCATGCGGTTCTGAGGCTCATCTGGGTCCACGACAGTCAGAGAGCCCAAGGAGCTGCCCACAGGGATGTCTTCAGGCACCGTAAATGTGTATGTGGCTGAGGTAGATAGAGATAGGGTCTGAGTCTCAGAGGCTGGGTCTCCTAAGCCCATGAGCACTGGGGAAACTGCTTCTGTCTCAGGATGGGACTCGAGGCATGGTAGTGGCATCAGCAGAAGTGTGATTTCTGTCTGGTCTGTGAAGGGCCCATGACTGGACAGGTGGGTGTTCTTGGGAGAGAGGTACAGAAATGGAGCAGGGTCTCCGATCTCTGGTCCTCAGAACCACCCTAGGGCATGGGAGAAGGTAAAGGGACTGGGAGTACCTCTCTGAGAGCTCCCAAGTGACTGAGTCTGGGTTGTCCCAGACCCTGTCTACCCAGGGCCCTAGGGGAGGGGCTTACATTGAGTGAAAATGGGAAAGTTGTCATTGATGTCTTCTAGAGTGACCAGCACTGTGGCTGTGCTTGATTCTCCGTGGAGGCCCTGGACATCTCGTGCTTCCAACACAATCTCATAGAGATTCTGTGTCTCTCGGTCCAAGTTCTTGGCTGTTGTGAAAATGCGCCCTGCAAGAAGTGTCCCAGTAGGAGTTGTGTTATGGGAGAGCCTTGAGAAGATGTGGATGCCCAGATCCTACCTAGAAAAAACCTAGGTGACTCCACTGTGTAGCTGGGGCTGAGAAACTCGGGCCTATAGTCCTTGTAACTAAAACTGGCCAAATACTGTGGCCTAGTATTGGTCCTAGTTAGAACATCGTGTTAAGAAAGATCATGGGGCCAAGTCCAGGCTCAGTGCTGTGATAGCTTAGGGGTGTCTGCCTTGAAACACAGACTTATTGGCTGCAGTATGTATTTTTAATCTTCTGGAAGAAATGTGCCTAGGTTGACCAACTGGCCTTCTTTCTTGCTTCCAAGATTCAATACTTCCAGTTTTTTAGGTCTGTTAAATTGAACCAAATTTGGTCTGAGAAGCCTTCTGTGCATGCAGACTTGAATCTTTCTGTAACGAACTGCAACCTAATTGTATGTAAATGAACTGAAAACCCAACTTAGGAGTATGTTCGGCCAATCACAGAAGCTGTGCCACCTGTCCAAGGCTGTTCAAATAAGGCAGGCTTCCCAGCAGTAACCAACAGAGCTGTTTCTAGACTGCAGTTTTTTTCCCTGTCCTATAAATGTTACCCAACTATATGGCAGCCCCAAGGTTCCTCTGAATTTGCTTTGCTTCTGGGGTGTCCCTATTTGTGAACTGTTCTTCAGAAAATTAAACTTAGTAAAATTTAATTGGTCTAAAGTTTTATACCAAGTCACAAAAAACTATGCCACATTGCTCTGTCCATGCATAATCAAATTCAAACCTCACAGCTGCCCTAAAGGACCAGGAGCATTTCCATTTTCTAGATAAAGGAACTAAGCTTCACAGAGGTTATCTGACTTGTCCAAGGGCTGTAGAGGCCCAACTACTAGTGCTGGGTTTAGAATCAGATCTCTCTGAACACGTACAAAGACCTTCCAACCAGTATTGTCTACTGAGTCCTGGTCTCTCTGCCTGGGTGACAAATCCTGATTTTGTTTCCAGATTTCAGTCAACTCCTTGGGTACCTGTCTGTTTTCTTCTCCCCTGATCTACCCTGCCTGTCTTTATGTGCAATATACAGTCTTCCCCTGGGTCAGTGGCTGGTGACACCTGTAAAGCTAGACTTCACTGAGCATTGCACCTGTGATATTCCTGTCCCCTCATCTCTGTAAGTGCCTGTCCACAAAGGTTAGTCACACAGACCAGAATTATCGATGGCAAAGTGTTCATTTCCTTTCAGAAGCTGGTACATGACAGAGGCATGGTCGGCCACCGTAGGGTCATCTGCATCCACTGCTGTCACAGTGATGATGGAGGTTCCTGTGGAGAGAGAATCCTGAGATGTCTTCCCGTGACTGTGGCACCTCTCCCCATTTCAAGTTGAGAGCAGATGAGGTTCTGCTGTCCCTACCTACCCAGGCTGAGAAGGGAAAGGCTGCTTTGTGCTCCAGGGAGCAGTATGAGGGCAAAGCACTTGCAGTGTTAAGTCCAGCTTGGTCAGCCATTAGGAGCACAAAGAGAATGAATGGGTGTTTTGCACGTTTGTGGGAGAAATGAAGAGGAGATGATGGGGTCAGAACCTAGGAGAGTAGTGGGTTGTTCCGCCCCCTTCTGAAAGGGTAAGGACACAGGACTGGGAAGGGAATGGGTTTTTCACATTTCTTACTCCCTGGAGTTTTAGGGTCCCCCTAGGAAGGTCTGGCCTTAGGACCCTAAACAGAGATCTTGGACAGAAGAGTAGAGAGGGACATCCCTCTTGTATCTTCTGGATGCAGGATTGAGGAAGGGGTAGTACTTCTTGAGTCCAGGTCTAATCTGAAAACACACTCCAGAGTCAGGACTCTGACCCCATCTCTACTACATTGCCTTTGTGGATGGCTTTTCAAATTTGTGGCCAAAATTCTGGGATTCAGGGGAAGTTGGTAGGGTGTTATTCCAAAGAGTAATGAGATGTGTGTGTGTGTGTGTGTGTGTGTGTGTGTGTGTGTGTGTGTGTGCGTGCGTGCGTGCGTGCGTGCGTGTGTGTGTGGTGGTGTGTATATAAAGACCAGGGCTCAGTCTACGATTAAGATCATGGTTCAATCTATGGGGGCTACGGCTCAGCAGTATCTCATCAGATCAGGGCTTAGTCTATGACTGGATCTGGCATCAGTACATAATCAGAATGAGGACTCAGTCTATGACTAAGGCTAGGTCTCAGTATATGATCAGGACCAGGGCTGTCTATAGACTCAGGACTCAGTATATGATCAGGATCAGGGCCCAGTCTGTAACTAGGGTCAGTGCGCACATCATCAGGACCAGAGCAATCAGTCTATGATTAAGGTTAGTGTTCAGTTTGGGACTAGGTCAGAGTTTAACCTTCAGGGATGAATATTTCAAATCATCTAAAGTGGCAACATGGCATTACAACCTCTTCCTTGAACTCAGTGACACCTGACCCAAGGCAATGAGGTGGTTGCTGTGAGAAGTTTCTTCAGGCTGCGGGGGGAGGGAGGGAGGAGGAAAGAGGACAGACTAGGCACGTACCCACGGCTGACATCTCAGGCACAGACGCATTGAACACCCGGTATGTAAACACAGGCCAGTTGTCATTTACATCATGAACTTTGATAGTGAAGTTGGAAGGCATCTCCAAGTTTTTGTCGGTGTCCTTGTCCACAATGAGGGCCGTGAGGCAGTACTCGGGGACCTTCTCCCGGTCTAGCCTCTCAAAGGCATACACATCCCCTGTGTCAGCATTCACCCGGAAGACCTTGCCAGCAGAATCTCCTTGGAGCACATACTTGGCATTCTTTCGGTTCACATTTGACTTGATCTGGGAAAGAACAGGAAACATGAGCTGGGAATGGGCAGTGTGGCTGAGTGAGTGCAAGGACACGAGTATGCATGCATGTGGGGATGCTGTGTGCACATGTACATGTATGTACACAGGGCCATATGTGTATTGCTAAGCAGATATCCTAAGTAACACTGAGGTTTTCAACTGGTCTCCAGTGAGCTGTTCTCTGTCACGTCACTGCAAGCACTGCAATGTGAATTGCTTAGCTGTGCCCAGTGCCTGGAATGGTGCCTGGAGCCCGCTAGGCACTTAGAAGATAGTAGGAGAGTGTATTTGGTGCTCCTGGAGGGCAAGGGGCATCTTTGTCCCTTAGACTAAGACACTGATTGTCTTTGTGTCGTCTGTAAAATGGAGCTAATTAAATTTCTAAGGTTGATGTGCACTAATGAGTTGAGCTGCCCATTTGGAAATGAGTGCCAGGAAACCTTGGATTCCTTTGCTGTCCCATGAAAAAATGGGTTTCCTGCCAGTGATGTGTTGAAGCTGGCTTGTGTCAGTGTGGCTTAGGAGACTGGGTTAAAATTTGCAGGAATAATTGTCATCTGGCTGTGAAACACAGCCATTATTAAACATTAACTTATCTAAATGTATAATGAAAGAACTCGTTATGATGGCTGGTCTTGTCAACTCCAGAGGATTTAGAATCAACCTGGGAGACATGCTCCTGACCACAGATGCCATGCAACCAGCTGCCTCACACTTCTGCTGCGCCATGCCTTCCTTCCCTGCATGCTGAACTGTAACCTCAAGCTGTGAGCCCAATGAACCCTCCCTCTGTCCTTCCCTCCCTGCCTCCCTCCCTCTTTCCCTCCCTTCTTTCCTTCCTTCCTTCTAAATTGCTTTTGTCAAACATTTTGTCACAGCAATGAGAAAAGTCACTAATACAAACGTGTTAAAAGCAAAGATTGCGAATATCCAGAATTCATCAGTTGCTAATTATGTTTGTGCATTTTGCCACATTCTTGAGGTTACCCTGTCTTCTCTGGGTATGGTTGCAATGCAGAGCAGGAGAATGGCCATACACATCTTGTCCCAACTCTGACTTCAGCGATACCACATTAGCAGCTTGAAGTCAGACACAGTGAGAGCATTTGCACCATGCCAACTGCCAAGTGCTATACCCGCATCAGCACCATTCTCCTGGAGAGCCAGTTGTCAAACATCAGCACAGCACTTGTCCTGGTCAATTTACTTTTGGAATCATGCACAAAATATTCTCTTCTTAGAATTTACAATGTCTAATTCTGCAGAAAAGAACAGAACAGTGAGCTCTGTTTAACTTAGGGTTTCCTGAACTTCTTAGAACACTGGACCATTGTTTCCTTATAACACACACTAGTACGTGTATTAGTATCCCAGGGGAGAATGATGTGTGTCAAGTATCTTGCACAGAACAGGGTTCTCAGTAAATGATAGATTTAGTGATAGATTCACAAGTCAAAAGACGTTAGAAAGCTGGATTCCATTTTTACAACCAGAGGATATGAAGCCTATAAGTATTTCACGCATGCAAATAGTGCTCTTCTAGAAGGTTTAGATGACCAAAAAATAAAATCTCACTTAAAAAAGTATAAATTGAATGCTTCAACACTCCAGTCTGGTTCTCAGGGCTGAGGTGTAGTATCAGAGACTGACATCCTAGGAAGGCAACACTTGAGGGTCAGATGGAACAGTAGCCTTGTGTGCAGGTATCCAGTGAGGATTCGCCAAGAAGGCTAGAGGACAGCCGAGAGAGTGATTTGGAGGCCAAGACTGCTAGCCTCAGGGGAGAAGGGGGAAATTCCCAAGGTGTGTGGATCGGCCCTATCAGCTCTAGAAAGCGTCCTTAGAGCTTAGCAGCCACTGGCGCCCTCGTTAATGGTGGCAACAGCTGGGTGGAGGGCTAAGAAGCCCAGATGACAGAGCATAGAGAAAATTCTGGAAGGTGAAGTGGAGATAAGGAAGAGATGACCCTTTTCCTTGAGTAGGCCCTGGAAGAGGGAAGCAGCAGCTAGCGATGACAAAGAACCTGGAACAGGGATTGTGATGTGCAAGGGGCAGGTGGGTCTATGAGGGAGTCTCAAGGTCCAACGGACAGGATGGATGATGAACAGCTGGACAGGGACAAGAAGCCACATACCAGCTCTATAACCTGTGGAAAGCAGGGACAGCAGGGAATGAAGAAGAGGGTCAGTTGTGGGGCCCTGGGCAACGCCTGGGTTAAGGTGAGACATTGGCCTTAACTGGAATCTTCCCTTGTTCCCTCCCCTTCTCTTCCCTTCCTTTCCCTTTGTTTTTTGAGACAAGGTCTCGATAAATACTCTAGACTGGTCCTTCTTCCTCCTGCCTCAGGCTCCAGAGGGCCAGGATTATACGCACATGCTGCCATGCTTGTCCCACTTTTATTTAAATAGATTTTGGGTTTTACGACTCTTCTTAGACTTAAAGAAAAATTGACACGCTAGTGCACAGTGTTCCTATGTGCCTGCTCCCCTTCACCCTAGTACCAAATATTATGTATGTGGTACACTTGTTATAACAGAGGAACCCAAACATAAAATATTATTAATTAATGCCCATAGTGTACACAGATTTCCTTGTTTTTACCTAATACCCATTTCTTATTCTAAGATACCATTCAGGACACCACATGGCATTTAATCCTGTTTTTTCAAAGCTCATTTTGTTGTGACAGTTCCTAAGATTTATTATTTTTGATGATCTGAAATTTTGGAGAAGTACTGGTCAGGAATTTCATAGGATACCCTTCCACTTGAATTTCTCTGTTTTTCTCATGACTCAACTAGGGTTATGGGCTTTGCCCCCTCCCCCGCCCCTTCTAATATCATTGTGTTTGAACAGAGTGTCTCAATGTCAAAATCTGCCCTGGCAGACTGCTCAGGGCTGGCTCCCATTGTCCATCCAGACCTATAAACAAAGGCTCCAGACTTTGACCTTGATAAATAGGCGCTTCCTTCCTGTGGATTGCATCCTTGGGAGCCAAAGGGTGATCCTTGGAGCTCTGTGCTTACATCTCCCACATACCCTTGATTCTCCCCAGATTGGGGAGTGCCTGTGGCTCCTCTACTTCTCTAGACCCAGACTAGGTATCAAGTGGGTTCTGTCATTACAAGACACAGGCCTGACGCTCTTCCTGCTCTTCACACATTCCCGGGTCAGCCCTCAAAGGTTGTCCTGGCACCATCAGCTAGCTCTTCATGATTCATCCTGTAGATTTTCCTTTTCCTCAGGGCTAGCTTTTCTCCTCAGAGGATGACTCATGGCCCAATTATCTCATTGGGAAAGACATAGTTGGGCTGACGGCATTTCCTTCTGTGATGAGCATTCACTGTGTGACTCTGGACCTTTGACTGACCAGGTGGCAGGATGTACATCACCCAGACAGCTACTGGGCACAGCCATCCCAGGTGGCTCTACCTGTTTCCTTTAGCTAGGGGCAGGAGCATTTTGGATGCCCTGTCCAGACTTGTGCTTACCTACCCAAAGTCCTCATCTACCTGTCTCTCCATCAACAGAACACTCCCATCTCCACCATTTGAAGGATTCTTTGTCTGACATGTGGTATTCCTCTAGAACCCCCTTCTTTTTTAAAAAATAATTTATTGAAAATTTCATATATGCATATAAGTTGTTTTGATCAAATCCATGCCCACTCCCTCCGCTCCAACTCTTCCCTATCCTCCTATCACTTTTTTCTGATAACTTCATGTACTGTTTCTTTTTTTTCCATGGGGTTTTTTGCTACTCTAACATTCCCCCCTCTGCAGAAGTAACCCTAAAATCTTTTAAGGATTAGATAAGAGCTCCCAAATACTTTCGACATTTTTGGCCTTAGGAACGGAGTATGTAGAACCCCCTTCTTAAACCTCTTAAACCTTTACAACCTCATATGGTGTCATAAATCTAAATGCAGGAGTTGCGAAAAATTTGGCAATAATGAAAGATTTCTGAACGTACAATGATAAAAAATTATCCATAATCAAATGTGTAATGGTGTGTGGTAACACTCACATGTGATGTATTGCACAACCTCACTGCAGCCTTCATTCTAGACACACAACATGTACACTTTGCACTATACATGCCACATTCAATGTAACACCAGTGAAGGATGCTACAAATACCTCAGCTTAGGTTTGAGACCATTGTACAGACCACAGTAATTTTATTGTAGACACAAAGTTTTCTGCTTTTCTAGAAACAATGCTAGAAAACAAAGACTTTTAACATTTTTCTGCCCTCAGTCCTTGGCATGTAGGAACCAAGTTAGTATATCTTTGGATTGGATTGTGTTAGAAGAGTTTATTTTTAAAAAATTGCTGCTTGAGTTGCTGATTTGAGTTTCATAAAAAAGTCATTAGATGAATTGCAACTTGAGATTAGGACAGAATTTATAACAATTTCTGAAATGGTTCTAAACATACCTCTGCTGTTTTGTACTATGTATTTATGCAAAGTGATATTCTCAGCACTGACAAATTCAAAATCAAAATATTGATCCAAGTGTGGTTCATACCTCTAATCCCTCTAATCTCAGCACTCAAAAGGAAGAGGCAGAAGGATTTCAGCAAGTTCAAGGCCAGACTGGTCTCTGGTTTACATAGTGAGTTCTAGTCAGGGCTACATACTGGGACACTGTACCAAACAGACAAACAGAGGCTGGAGAGATGGCTCAGCCGTTAAGAGTACTGGCTGCTCCTGCAATGAGCCCAGTTTGGTAACCAGCACCCACACGGTGGCTAACAACCATCTGTAACTCCAGTTCCAGAGGATCTGATGCCCTCTTCTGGCCTCCGCTGGTGTGCACTTACATGCAGGCAAAATACTTGTACACATAAAATAAAAAAATGTAATATTGAAAAAAGACAGACAAATCTATCAATTCTGAAAGACACTGAATTGATGCCTTATGACCTGCAATATCAGATATTCAGTTAAGATTTAATTTAATTTTGTGTGTGCATGTTGTTGTTCAT